GGAACCATGGCAATGAGATGATATACGATGGAATGAATGTAAAACTAAAGTTCTCTCATGTAAACTATCATATAATTCACAATAAAACATTAAAAACAAACAAACAAGCATGTTTCCTTGGGAGCCTCCAGGTGGCACCAAGTTCATGGACTCAGCTGCAAACAGAAAGACTGAGATGCTGCAAAAGAAAGGCCTGGCAATCTCTACTGGTGAAAAACCAGCCCTTGAAATCCCAGCACTGTTTATGCAAAGAGACCAAGAGGTATAGGTGGTTCTGGACTTGACCTCACTGAAGGAGCAATAGCTAGTGGGATCATTCCTGGAAATCTTGGTCTGCCTTCTTGCAGCGCTGGCTCCTGGGAAACACAGGCCTTGGCTGGGCGAGACCCTCAAGTGTCCTTCCTCAGCAGCTTCCTGGCTGTGTGTGAACTTCCCTGAGGCAGCCCTGACCTCCCATGAGCTCCGACGCCTCCCTCCTCAGCATGTCCCCTGTGGGTTCTGACTCATGGCCACCCTCTCTGCACACAACACAGACCACTGCCCAGTCCCGCGTCCTCCTCACAATCGTTGCTGTGTTTGAGCCCACTGCTGCTGCCAGTGGGTCCCAATCCATCTCATTGGGGGGACTCTCCCTCTTTTTCCAGTCATGATGTCCTTCCTCCAGGGACTAGTCCCTCCTGACAACATTTCCAAAATATGAGACATAAAGTCTCGCCATTCTCTCTTCTAAGGAGCATTCCGGCTGCACTTTTTCCGAGACAGATTTGGTTGTTCTTTGGGCAGAGTCCATACCATATCCGCTTCCTTCCCCAACACAATGAAGTGCTTCGAGTCTGAGGTCTTCTTAGTCACCACCCAGCTTATGCATATGACTAGAGAGCCCAGAGCCCAGGACATCCTATGGAGCCGGTCACATGGGGCTGCGATGAGGCAGAAGCATCGGACAGCAAGTCCCCAACCACCACGCCAGGAAGACCCACCTGGAATACGACCCACGCGGCATACAGCTGTGCCGCTTTCATCGTCACCGCTGGAGTCTTGGCCCAGATGTCCGACAGGTGTGCACGGCCGGTGGCAATGTCCAGGGCGGGGGCTGTGAGGGAGCAGCCGTACTGGTGGCACGTCATGACAAAGAAGTATACGATGAAAGGGGCGAACAGCAGCAGGAAGATGACGCTCGCTAAGGAAAACCAGTCCACTTCCCTGTAAGACAAAGTAGCCAGTGACCATGTGGCATCACTGGGTACAGTGTGATTTGCTCCTAGGATTCAAGCCCTCCTCTCCTGGAGAAGCCACACAACACGCATGCTCTCTGATGACCAACCAGCAATCCAGACACACGCAAAAATGCTGGTGTGTCTGACATGTGAGGGGGCTTCAACCAGTTGGTGGAAAATGCCATGGTCTTTAGTTTCAAGTTTTCTACAAACTTTTTGAAGCCTACTTGTATCCAATACCACTGCTGGAACATTCCAAGAAAAAGAAACCCGAGCCAACAGGAAAAACGGAGGCAACAGGGAACTCCAGGGAAAATGAAAAGCCTCACAGGGGGAAATTAAATCACATTATTCCAACCCCAGAAAGCCCAGGTCCAGAGGATGAGCCTAGAGAGCCCCTTCCTGACCACCACAGCCAGGGGCTCCCCAAGTCCTGGCCACACAGTACCTTCATCCACAGCCAGGGGCCCACAGCTCTGGGGTGAAGTGAGGACGGTGGTAGATCCCACTCATGGTGCCCCCGTGTGTGGCAGAGTAGAACTGTGCCCCACAGGGTTCTCAGTGGATGATTTTTATAAGTAGATTCCACTCATGGTGCCCCCGTGTGTGGCAGAGTAGAACTGTGCCCACAGGGTTCTCAG